CGGCCGGCGAGGGGAGGGCAGGGAAGGGAGGCGGCGGCGGCGGGGGTCCCGCACACCTGGAGCGGGGCCGGCCAGGGAATCAGCCTCCCCGCCCGCGCCGCAGAGACCCCCGCGGCCCGCCGGAACCACTGCGCCGCCTCGCTCCCGGCCCGGTCGGCCGGCGAGGGGAGGGCAGGGAAGGGAGGCGGCGGCGGCGGGGGTCCCGCACACCTGGAGCGGGGCCGGCCAGGGAATCAGCCTCCCCGCCCGCGCCGCAGAGACCCCCGCGGCCCGCCGGAACCACTGCGCCGCCTCGCTCCCGGCCCGGTTCCCCGCGGCCGCCGCAGCCTCCACCGAGAACTCGGCGGGCCAGAGCGGGGCTCCCTCGAAATCGCGGCGGGGGCGCGGGGGGCTGGGCGTAGCCTTACCCTCCGGCTCCATCTGCTCCCGCCGCCGCGCTCCGGCGCTCCCCGAGCCGCTGCGCGCCGAGCTGGGCCGGGCGGTTACAAAGGCGGCCGCCGGGCGAGGGGGGTGGGTTTCCTCTCCCTCCCACTGCAGCTGCATCGCGCCATGAGGCGCCGCCAGCGGGACGCGGCGCCCCTGAAGGCGGCGGAGGCGGGATGCGCCCCCACCGCGGCCCGACCCAAGCGGCAACGGGACACGCCGGAGGGGCCGCCCCGGCTGCCAGGGGACCAGGTGCTGCGCCCGGCCCGGGGACAGCGGCGGGGAAAGGGCCCACCGCCGGGGCTGGCCCCTCCCTAAGGCCGGGAACGGGGGCCAAGGGGAGGGGAGAAAACACCCTTTCCTGCCCCCTTCCCGCCCGACCCTGGGGAAGCAACGCCGGTCGCTTGCGTGGCCCCTGGGCAGCTCTACGAGGAGCTCCCGCTGAGCCAGACCCGTCCTGGGCTAACCGGGGGCATCCCACTTCCCCCACAAGTGAACCGGTGATGCAGCTGCAGGGAGCAAGGGACCCACAAGCTCTTCATCATTCGCATGCCACAGGGAAGGTGTTCCTTAGGGTCCCTTAGGTGAGAAGGTGGACGAACCCGTGGCGAAGCTCGAAATCACGTCACAAGGAATAGAAAGGGAAACCTAAGGGCTACAGGCTCTGCGCCGGCTGTTGCCCTTGGAGCCAAAAGCTTCTCGGTGCAGCTGCTGGGGGCTGCTGTGGGACACGTGCCGAGGCCCAGGAGAGACCCCGGGCTGTGCATGGCTTTTCTGGCTGACCTGTTCTTCCATGTATGCATCAGAGATCAATTCAGATACGAATTTTGTCTGAGGGGACCAAACCCTGCCAGCCTCTTCCCAGCTCCCAGAACCATTCCAAAAAACAAGAGCTTCTTAAATAGTCAACTGAAGGCCCACCTGACTCAGTACTCTGCCTGGACAGGGAGTAGGATACTGTAGGTAGGAGGGATTGAAGCACAGTTGGAGGGTGATGCTCTCTTTTGTAGGCCTAGTGAAGTGCTCCTTCCACAGAGGTAAAACCCTGCTGCCTCTTCAGGTGAGGCACATTTTTAAAGGAGAGCTTTCTGAGATTTCCCAGCTTCTCATCACAAGGAGTAAATAATACAGAGAAAAACAAAAGTACTTATCAAGCAATCTCTCCCTGAAAGCAAAAGACATGTAAAATGGTCTTCACAAAAGCATTTACCTTCAGGGGAAAAAACAGCAAAACAATAAAATGAAAAGTTATCTGTGTTGGGCTTCCATCTATGTTTTATTACCCAGTAGCTCATCATTGCTCTTTACCTTCCCCCTGAAATATCCAGTGTCGATGCAAGCATTAGTGTGGAAATATACCACTGAGCACTTCAATAGTGTGATGGAATGGAAACACAGTTTTGCAGTTACACTCCCAGAAATAATTTCTGTGGACTACTCGCTCCAGAATAAAAGAAGTAGCTGTTCTAGATCAACTCTATTAATAGGGTCTAGATAATCCAGAGTAAGAAAGCAGATTCAGCAGTGATGAACCAATCTGGATTTTTTGTCACTTTGACTGTTACTTTTCAAATCCTACCTTAAAGCATTAATATTCATACACAAATTTAACACACAACAAATTATTTCAGAAATTTATTACTGTAAAAATGGATACAGCTCTCTTAGATTAGTCCTGTCCTTTAGGACAATGAGGTGGGTCTTCTCTATAGCACTTTCACCAGAACAGAGCCAAGCTCACCAGTCATTGCTGCACAGTCATCAGGTATAATGGAGATGGAGCAGCAGAAACAAACTTACAAATTGTTGGAAATTTCTCAGGTTCTTTGCTCTCATGGAAGCAAGGTCCATGCTATAAAGTGTGAAGCTGAGACAAGCTTTATTTTAAGCATTTAAAGTTGTTAGATATAGCACAAGAACAGCAAATAACCAGCATCCCTTAAAAATGCCTATTTATATCCTGTCCAACTCTTTCCCTACTCTAGCCAGCATTTTGGCTTGGTTTGGTTTCTGAGGTTTTTTTTTTCTAGATAATTGGGCCATTTTTCATTTTAGGCACTCAGTACCTACAGTCTGGGCATCTGTAGCATTTGTTTCTCTGACCAGAATCAGTCAAGTTACTCTGGAGTGAGTTAACAATTTAAGCAAGTTGTAGCCATTGCTTTTGACAAGCAAAATTGTCACAGAGGGCCAGTGTCAATTTCTTTACATCCGGGAAATAAGCCATGTCTGCAACCAAGGTAAGTTGTGTGGTCTCAGAGAGAAGTTTCAGCAGATAAGTAAAGTTTCAGCAGAAAAGAAGGGCTCTGCTTTGAAGCTCTGATAGGGATTGGAAGGAATAAAAGCTAAGAAGAAGGTGGTCTGACACTGCCACAAAAAGAGCAAAACAGAGCAGATTTGGGAAAGCAAAAGAAATTGCTGGGACACCTCCCGTGAATCTGGAGCTTTCTTCCCACCTGAATTAAGAGGCATGCAATCCTTTAAAATTGTGAGGAGCAAAATGTTCCTGGGATCAATTACAGCACAGTTTGTGACTCTTGAGTAACAAGCATGGGATGCCACCTTTCACTGAGTTGTAGGCAGTAGATACATATTCTCTATGAAGTCCTATAGCTCTGTAAAGCCCTTTTATTCTAACCTGTCTCAGTTAGGTTAGAAGAAGTTACCTGAGCTGTTTTCCTTCATGTCTTATGAAGGAAGTCATAATAGAAACAAGTCTATTATGTTGGTAACATGCATGTCAACATTTCTGTCATTTCTGCCATTCACAGTGTTAGCCTCAAAGAAGTTGAAGATTCTCCTAAACAGATTAGAAACTGGTTGGAAACCTCTTGCAGTGAACTGGACATTGCTGAGGACCTGAAGGTCTTTGTTTTATTAAATCTTAGCTGTGAATTCTACTTTGGGTGTAGTAAAATGGGCTTAAAGCTTCTTTAAGCCCAATGCAATGTCATTGAATATGGTCCTTGGGCTAGTTTTAATTGTTTTCAGTCCCTTGGTATCTAATGCACATGTGTAAGGGTAAAGGGCCAATAAATGCAGTGTGAGTGGTCAGCAAAATTCATACAGATATTCTTTTCTTTTCTTCCCCAAAAAAAAACAAACTTGCCTGTCATATTGCATTAAAATTCTGTTACAAGATGAGCTCTCTCAATACAAAGTAAATCATCTTCATGGTAGGCTTTGCAGTTCAATGAGGATTACCACTGCATGTCCAGGAAAGATAGATTTAATGAGGGTAAGAATAACCTCTTCTAGATTTAATAAGACATTAGAGACCAAAAGGCCAAGGCTTTGCAAATACATGGGGTTTTTCTGACATGCTTTTCCTGTAGGAGATGCACATTGTGTTTTGTTCCAGATCACATGATCCTTGGGGTGACCCTCATGTGCTTTTGCACATGACACTCTATGGCCAACACAGAGTTCCTTTGTGCAGAGTCCTTATTTAAAATATTAGAATTTTGATTGGAGTTTCTTCCCTTTCTGAAAAGACTATTTTTCATGTGAAAATTAAGATTTGAAGATTACTGTGACATCTTTTGAGTATTTGTGCAATGTCATTCTCATGAATTTGAGGCTGGGCCTTTGCACTTGCAGATAAAGCAGAATTGCTTTATTAGTCATTTACAACGAGACTAAACCAGAAAATGCAATAAAAACAAATAAATTTTATGGCAGCACTGCAACTTATTCTGTTGCTTTTAAGTTTGGAAAAGTAAAAAAAAAAATGTCAGAAAGAAATGATTGATCAAAGCTAGTTTTCAAGGGAAAATTTATTTAAGCCAAAACTCTGCTGTGATAGGGTTTTAATTTTGTTTTGTTTGGGTTTTTTTTGTTTGGTTTTTTTTTTTGTTTGTTTGTTTTTGTTTTGGTTTTTTTTTATGATATCTTAGGCAAAAACAAGTCTATTCCATATTCACCAACCCCTTTTACCACAGCAGCCAAGAATCTAGAAAAAAAAAACCCACAGAACAATGTACAGAAATAAGGCACTGCAGGTAAAAGTAAAGCAGCCCTCCATTTGGGATGCAGGTCCTGTGGCAGCCTTTAAACTCTGGCATGACATTTTATAGCAGAGTATAGTTTTAGAATAGTATTTTAGCTGCACATCATGAAGTAGTTGAACATAAATATTTACTGGGGCTTGAATGTTAATTTTTCTTAGCAATGAGGCATTTCCAGTCCTGGACTTTCTAATATCACTAGTATTATTTAAACACCAACTTAACAGTTTGGGTTGTTTTTTGGTTTTTTTTTTTCATTTAAATTGATTCAGATCTTTCCAAGGTAATACACCTCAGAGCTGTTATCTGGGGTCTCTGAAAGCAGAATTAGGTTCATACAACAGGTAATGAATGATCTGTGCACCAGCTGTTTTTGAAGCCCGATTTCACAACTGAAAATGTTTTCTATGTCCAAGGAGGGCACAAGAGCCATTCTTCACCCTTTAAATGCTGGTTTGGGGAAAACAGTAATCCCGTGGCCATTGTTTGACAAAAAAGAACCAATGAGCTACAATACAAGGGTGTGGATTCATTCACTTCTGTCTCTGGGGTATAAAATGAGGGTGGATCATTAGGGGACTCGTAATATGTTGACCAGAAAGGTTACACTTGATGTGTGACTGTCCATCCTCACCAGAGAGGATGATGAGGATGAGGAGGTGTTGCTGACCACTAGCTAACAGCCAACATATGACAGACACCAGAATCCTCACCTGTTCAGTCAGTGTCTCTCAATTGGCTGTTACCAGAATACCAGGGCTGAACTCATGACAGAGCATAATAGTGTTATAGAAACCTCTGTGTATAGATTAGGTTCTGTTTACTGTGGGTTTGCATTTATATTTTGGATTACTTGAAGTTGTAGACTTGTCAGATGTGCATATTAATTTGCAGCAGTGGGGGTGAACTCAGTGACCCAGAAGACCCTTTCAGGTCCATGTTCATAATTTCTTCTTGTATCACATTATAAAGTAAATGAGGAGCTATAGCTTGTCACCATTCAACTAAACACTTTAAAATAACACTGACTTTTGCATTAGCTTCAAAAACAAGGTGTGTTTTAAGAATTGAATCATGCATCAAGGGTGATGTGTTTTGCAATCAATGACTTTCAGGAACAAAAATCTCATTATTCAAAAGGAAAAAGAGGTACCTAAGTGCTTTTAACAAAGAGCAGAATTAGAATTAAGCCCTTTCAGAAATTAAATAATCTAAAAGGCATTGCAGATTTTACTCAAGATTTTCAGTACCCT